CCCACCACCTTCTCCACCTCCACCTTCTCCTCCTCCACCCCTTCCTCCACCTCCTCCACCTCCCCCCCTGCCGTTCCTCTTCCTCCTCTCCCCCATCCAGTTGCCTTCCCCCTTATCGCTGACGGGCTGGCAGGAGAGGAAGGGAGTCAAGTGTCGCTGAGGTTCTTGAGGGTGAGCAAGGACGAGAGAAGCATCATAGACGTCGTTCTCGTCAGACGAGCATGTGAAAGTTGAACACTATCCTCCCTCTCCCTCTCCTCCTCTCACCTTCGCTCCTTCCCTCTCCGTTCCGCACTTCTCTCCCCTCCCCTCTTGCATCTCGTCTATCCTCCGTCTCGTATTCTCTCCCCTCCCCCTCCACTGCGTATCTCCGATGGCTCTACCTCCCCATACATCGTTCCCCCTCCTTCAGCAGTCTCGCCTCCATCAAGCTTCCTTTCTCCTTCCCTGCTCCTCGTGCACAGAACAAATAGTCTCACTCATCTCCCGTCCCTCCTCCTCCTCCTTCACCTTCTCCTCTCATCCTCCTCCTCCTCCTTCCTCCCGTCCCTGCTTCGTCTTCTCCTCCTCCTTCCCCTTCTCCCACCATCCACCTCCCCCACGTCCTCCAACCTTCACACAACAACAGCACCCGACAATTACTCGTCAAGATCAAAAACTTCATCCAATCGTATCAGCACAATCGCAGCTGTTGACTTCAGAGTCTGCGCCTTCACGGTCCGATGACGACATACTCCTCGCAGGGCTGGTGCCTGTAGAGTACATATCAAGGCGAGAAACCTCGTACCAGTGTAGATAACACGATACAACATGTCTGATCATGCATCTTGTTTCCTCCCACCGAGAAAACTCTCTGCTCTGCTCTGCTCTGCTCTGCTCTGCTCTGCTCTGCTCCTCCTCTCCCTCCTCTCATCTCACCACTGGCATTTCGTGTTTCCAGCGGCATGATAGTCCTCCATGAGCTGCGTTGCCGGTAAGCGACCAACCACAACAATCTCCTCCACCTACCGATCTGTCGTCCTGCAATGCCGCGATACAATCTTTAACGTCGTCCTCCAAAGAGAACTGAGAAACGATCAACCACGGAAGAGGACGAGGGAGACTCTGACCTCGCTGAAGCAGCGAGCTATCACCGCCTTGTTGTACGCATAGTCAGATGGGAGGTCTGCTGTGCCGTCAGCGATCGAGCTTCTAAGTGAACGGCAACGGGCAGAAGAGGAGACGTCAAGGGGCTAGCGAGAAATCCTTCAACTCGTGCAAACTTACCAAGCATGGGACCCCTGATGAATCCAAACAGCCGCATGGTCGCGTGTAGAAACTGATTCGATAGTCAGATGCACGGCACAAGAGAAAGCATGTACACTGCATGTGTGCATGAAAGTAAATGGCTGCTTGAGTTGATCATGCCTCAGGGTTATCCACATTATACTCTTGTCAACATGCAGCTACCCATTGTCAGGTACTGTGTTGACAGTTTCACAACAAACATCAATGCCATTGCTGTTCATTATTTCAATCCTCTTACTACCAACTCATTTTGGTATTCTACTTGTCCTACTCCTCCTCCTACTCCTCCTATTCCTCCTCTTCCACTCCTCTTCCTATTCCTTCTTTTCCTCGTCCTCCTCCTCCTCCTCCTCGTCCTCGTCCTCCTCCTCCTCCTCCTCCTCCTCCTCCTCCTCCTCCTCCCTCCTCCTCTTCGTCATTCAGGCATCGCCCATATATTGCGAGTGCCCTTTCACCATCTTGTAACGGGAAATAACTACCGCTTTGCAGGAACGTTGAAACGGAAAGTACCGATCGTAACGGTTCCCGAAAATAGCTAATGGCGGAGCGTTCAATGGAGAGCCAAGGAAGCAGAAAGGAGAAGGAGGGAGGGAAGGAGGAGAAGAGAGGAAAGAATGGTAGATAGTAACTCACTCAGAGCAGAGATAAAAGAATGGTCATGATGATTGACAGAGAAGCAACGAAGAAGGCTTGTGTATGTGATGAGGGAAAACAGGGTAATGAGGTGAAGGAACGGGGGAGAGAAAAGGAGAGAGAGAAACAAAGGTGTGTGTGTATGAGAGAGAGAAGGGGGTGAGGGCTAACATGTGTGTGGAAGAGAGAATTTTCAGAAGACGCAGATTGTTGGTATTTCATCAAACAGTCACTTCAGCCAACCTGTTTCAAGTGAAGGTTGCTTGACCTTGTCTCTCTTCCAGTATCGCACGATGTTTGCTGCTGTGCGGAGGTTATATCAAAGTCTAGACGACTATCAGCCGGTATACTCTCGTTCGCAATGGTCGCGAGCGCTCAACGTAGACTGCAGGTACTGGACCCTGCAAAGCTCCTCCCTGCCAAGGACCTGGAGGCCAACAGCACCCACACTCTTGACTGTACATCTCGTGCTCGCCTCCTCCACTGCAGTTCACGTCTTGTGTGCAGGTGGTGTGTTCGGACTCAACTGCAACAGTGATTATCCCTACGTAAGCAGCAGCTCGTTCTTGTCCCTTTGTTCCTGATGGTTTGGCAGATGAACGGAGGTGTTTGGATGCACCAGTGTTGCCCTCGTTGTTTGTCGTGCTGACAATCTGTCAGGCGATTTCTACGAGAGCGACTCCGACGCCATCTCGCGCGCGCGCCCTCACTTCGGTGTCCGCTACTAGAGGAGGCCGCGAAGCTCCGGGGGTAGTCGATGGAGGACACGCTCCAAGGGCCTGACGAGGACGGCAGGGAACGCGGGTGTGAACTGTACAACTGGAACGAGGGCCCTGCTGTGTATGATGTTTGACATGGACATATAAAAAGATTTCATTGACCCCCTTCCGGCCGCTGTCACCGCGGCCCTCGGAGGCTCCCGATCGATTGAGGGATTTCCCGGTGGGGCACGAAGGCCCTCTGCCGATCCTTCTGGCTGTAGCTCAGCTCCAGGGCGGCTACGTGGGCAGCCTCTTCCTCCCTCCGGTGGACGATGGCGGAGATGTCCTCTCGGTCCGGCTGGTCGAACCGAGCGTCCAGAAAGCGATTCATGCGCAGCGACGTCCTTGACATGGGGGCTGTCATCGCCAGTGGGGATGGAGGAACTTGCAGGTTTGAGGAGGAAGCCTGATGAGCTGGGGGATACGTCCCCTGTACCGGGTCAGCAGAGGGGGGAGCTGGGGGAATCAAAGGGCCGATGGCTGCCAAGTGGTCTAGGGTTGAACGGTAGTACCTGGTGGGGAAATTTTGCGCATGTGGTAGCGGCTGCGATGCTGGCATGCTCGATTGAGTTGACGCGCTGTGGAAGTAATTCCATTGGGAAGGGTTGGGAACCTGCCCCGACAGCCTCTGATCCATCCCAGCTCCCTGCGGTGCCCTCCTTTGTCCTCCTGCCGAGTCCACCAGCTCTGTCCTGACTCCCCTCGGGTCTGCCGCCTGGGAGGACCAGGAGCTCTGGTTCAAATACGTCGCGCTCTCCCCGTTGACGTTGAGCTGCGAGCGGCCTGGAGCGTACAAGGTCTCGGACTGTGGGAGTGTTGGGACGGTGAGGTTGACCCCAGCAGACCATCTAGCTGCGTGCTCTGCCCTTCGATCCCTTGCCTCGATCGGAGGGACCGATAGCTCTGCTCCCTGGCCCTTCCCTCGTCCTCCTGCCTGCGCGAGCTCAGTGCTGCTGTATCGCTCCTGCCCTGCATGCGCGTCGACGTGCAACTGTTGCATCCTCGCAGCGAGCGGGTCGATGTTGTGACCCTGAAGGAGTGCTTGGTCTCGCTGACGCTGCTCGCCCGAGACGTAGAAGAGCAGGTACGGCTTGCAAGCCTTCACATGGGGCTCCCAGTTCACTGCCTTGACACTGTCGTCGTCGAACTCCATCCAACCTGCGGAGGATTTACAGTAACTGATATAGTGTCCGTTGGTCAGCGACTGCCCCTCGTGAGAAATGACCGCATACAAGGAGTACAACGTGTTTCTCGGTCTTGGCGATGACGGATCAGAGTTGTCGACAAACTTTGCCAGATCGAAGAGCTTGGGGAAGGATATTTGCTTCTGTATCTTCTTCCTACTGCCTTGCGCGTTGTACGAGAATCGCTCTAGAAGCAGGAGTCAGGAACTGCTGCACCCATACACTCACGTATTACTGAGATGAACAATCAGGATCCTCGGCAACTCCTGCATGTAAGCATCATTCAGTCAACGAGTCTTCTTCGATTCATCAGCCCACCTTGATCATGGTCCTCATAGCAGCTCTTACCTTCACAAATACAGATGGTCATGTAGTTTACCTCAAGACCACACAGGCACCTTCTTCTTGCATTTCTCGCACTCCCACTTGTTCTCAGCATCCAACGTCTCGACGCGACAGAAATCTTCGAGTGCATCCTCCAAGGAAACGACTCCAGGAGGCGAGAGGTCCAGGGACAGGTAGACCGTTGGCTCGATGGTGCTGGAGGTGTGCTTGCATGATGGGCATTGTACCTGATCAGAAGGTCTCACAGGACAGCCTCTCTTGACATGATCGCTGCGAACCTGCCTTATGACTTTCCCCGAGAAGAACCTGCTAGTGATAGACTCTGGCGAAGGGATTATGAGGGGTATAAGAAGGATGAAACACGATTGACCTTGGATGGTCGGGCCAGTGCTCTCTAACTTGTCGAGGACGAACAGCAGAAATTCATGCACATCTTCTTGGTTGTTTACCCTCAATGACTTGTTCGCATTGCTGCATCAGGGGACCCTCTCATCACAAGCACCATCGCCATCATCACAACAACATCAACGTACCTGATTGTCTTGAGGAACTTGGTGTAATCTGCGCTTGCTATCCTTGCCTTGCCTGTGACCTGGGCTCACACAGTCATCCAGAAACTCTGCAGGGAGTCAGATATTGGTCCTACTTTGTTCATGATGTTGTACAACTCCACCAGGAAAGATTCCTCCACCCAGCCAGAGAGAATCGCATCTCGAAGGGCCTTGCATGAACCATCGAATCAGAATACATCATGGCGAAATGATGCCTTGTCTCTTCAGAGGTGATCGATCCTCAGTCGTGGACCTTTACAGTACACTTCGCATGCTGAAGTAGAGGGGAAACAACAGATCCTATATCTATCCTCGCATCATCATCATTATCAGCACCAATGATGATGACGATTACGATGATGATGATGATGTGATGATGTATCCTGCCGACTCTCACTTCCTCTTACCTCTAGCAAGCCTGGTGTATGCCTCAAGCTTTGCGTCCCAGCATTTATCCAGCAAGTATTCCCCGCGTTCTTCAGCCCAGCCTCGCCATTCATCCTCCTCACCTTTCCGCCTCAGCTTTTGAAAGCTTGTCAAACTTACGCTCAGTGTCAACTTCCGGGGGCCATGATCGGGCCCGACCGTCGGATCGGACCTCACTGCCGGGCCGCAGTTCAGTCCGGCGGGCCCGCCCGGCCGCCGCCGCTCATTTCCGACTCTCCAGCCGGGCCAGGCAGCCGACTTAGGACATGCGGACCGTCGGGTAGACCATGACGCCGTCCGACGGTCTACCCGAGAAGTTCGGCGGGCCGCTCGGGGCCGCACGGAAGTTCCGTTTACTGAACTTCGGAACTGAAAGTCACGGTCACGGTCTACGTCAGGAGGTACCAGGGTGAAACTCCATAGGCCGCGGCACCAGAGGGTGGGGTTGTTTCACTATGAGAGAGACGGGTAGGGGTGGATACGCCGTGTACTGCAAGCCATCAAAGAAGGGGGTAGGGGGTACTGATGGTACCGACTGATACAATGGCGAGATGACATCGGCGGTTAGTTGGCAGTGATGGTGGTCGCGGGAGAGACCATGAGAGCAAGCAGAAGAGAACAGGAGCAAGACACACACCAACAACGTTGGAGACCGTGGCATTGACCATCGGCTAACAGCAACTTGACGTGTCAACTCTTGTCAGGTGATATGATTGTGGCACCTGGTCTCGTAGAGCCGGAGAGCGGAGGAGAGCAAGAGCTGCAGGTGGTCGTGTATGAGGAACAAAGAGAAAGCTTTAGTAGATCAACAACCGCAAGATAACAGAAGTCTTTAGTACAGCAAGGTCATGAACGACCACAGTAATAAGAAGCAAGGTCGGTCAGGCTACATGCACGCTATGAAAACATCTCCAGATGAGCTAAGAACGCGCTCAAAGGACAAGGAGAAGGCGAGCAGGGCACAACAGCAAGCTAACGACCCCCAGCACCTCCCTGAACAACCTCTCTTCTGGAGGAAATGCAACCAGTACCTGCACCAGGAGGAAGCCTTGTACATGGAGAAAATGCGGTCGCGCTTAAACTCTGCCCTTGCCAAGAAGCGAGCTCAGGTGCAGCGAACGCAGTGGGGCATGTTAGACAAGGTCAGAGTCCCCAAGCTCAAACTGCCGGCGATCACGTCGCCGCATGAGAGGAGGAGGGCGATGACAACGAGGGAAACAAGCGGCATGAGCGTCCAGCAGGAGATGTCGGAGCTGTCACTGCGCAACGCCATCACCTACCGGGAGCATCGGCATGAACTGCTGGAGCACACCGAGCGCTTCTCTCGCGAGCAGCAGCTGAAGCCCTACATAGTGCGATCCGACACTGCCAGGATGAGCCTGACGCGGAGGGAGCAGGAGGAGAGGATGGAAACCGTCAAGGCGGAGATGCGGAAGGAGCGCCTGCTGCTCCAGCAGCTGAACCACTCGATCCGATGTCAGCTGAGAAGAGTCGAAGTTGACAAGCCGTTGCCTGATCGCTCCTTGCTCGTCAAGGAGATTCAGAGCAAGATAGCAAACATCAAGTCCGACGTGAGCTTGCTGGAGGAATCTAACCGAACATACTTGTCTCATGGTGAGCGAGGTTGTTTAGGAGAGGAGAGGAGAGGAGGGTAGGGGAGAGGAGGAGAGGGGAGGGGAGGAGGAGGACGAGGAGAGGGGAGGGGAGAGGAGGGTAAGGGAGAGGGGAGAGGAGAGGAGAGGTTAGGGGAGGGTAGGGGAGAGGAGGAGGGGGGAGGGGAGGAGAGGAGTGTAGAGGGAAAGAGAGGGTTGCACATCAGATCATATCATATCAGAGAGGAGGAGGGGATTCATCTGATTCTGTGCTGTCCTCAGATTTGTCACCCACGAAAGATTTCGTGAGAGCGAACAAGCACGAGCTTTTGACGGGCAGATCCTCTTACAAGGGCGGGAGACTCTTGCGGCAGAACCTCGAGCGGGTCGAGAAGATGGAGAACGCTCTGCAAAGGAGGGCAGAGGACATGTTGAACAAGTGCGAGAGCATGGAGGGTGTGATTCTCCGGCGGCAGAAGCGGCAGATCCAGTTCAACTATGAGGTGTTGGCATGAGAGCGCTGGTCAAGTCCATGACTGCTGTTGCTGCAGAGCGCTGCTGAGAGGAAGAGGACAGCGCAGAGAGAATGGCTGGCCATCCTTGCATGTTTAGCTCGCTTGCTGGAGATGAAGCGGGGGTACTTGCTCAAGCAAGAGATCAGGTTCCCTCTCACGCTCCTCTCCCTCCCGCGTTGATCGCTCCATCCTCCCCTCGCAGGTCGCGGCAAGTTGACATCATCGCCAAGTGCTGGCGGAAGTTCCTAGCGAGAAAGCGCAAGAGGCAGCTCGCTGCTCTTGAGCGGCTGAGCAGGTGGGGGCGGCAAGTGATATCGAGATGGCGGCAGAGGAAGCACGGGAGGCGAGTGAAACTCATCGTGTCCTTCCTGAGAGATCTCGAGCGGGTACGTCGACGTGAGGAGGGGGAAGGGGGAGGAGGAGGAGAGGAGGGGGAGGGGGGGAAAGGGGTAATGTGGAAAGGGGAGGAGGAGGAGGAGTCCTTAGAACTACATGGTACAGGTCTCCTTCATCCGTGAGCACATCCGCTCCTACCGCAGGAAGGTTGTGCTGCTGCAGCGTCAGATACGGCTGTACCTCCAACGAGCCAGAGGTGTCCTTGCTGACTCCCTCGCGCTCCCCTGATCCTCTTGCAGTATCGAGGAGAAGGCTCAACGTGATCTTCGAGAAGGTCGAGCGACAAGTGCTGTCGGAGCTGATGAAGGAGAAAGTTCAGCACCGCCGGGTGATCTTGACGCTTGACTAGTTGCTGGTCGCTGATGTGAGTGAGTGCAGGCGAGTGAAGACGTCTCAGCCCATGTCTCCAAGTACAAGGTGACTCCTGACAACCCCTGCCATGACTCCTGAGCTCCTCGCCCAGCACGTCGAGCAAGTTGACTGGGCAAAAATGTCGCCCGAGGTGTCAAAGTTCCACGTCGACGCATCGCTGAAGCTCTCGGTCTTCACCTGCATCTTGAAGAGCCTGCGGAGAAACTTCTCCAGGGAGCGCGACAAGTACTTGGCGCGCATGAAGGAGTACCGGGGGATCTTTCGGCGTTCGATCCTGTTCCGCGCAAGGATGCAAGACTTCCTTGACGGGACGGGGAACCAGGACAAGTTCATGAACCTTGATAGGTTTGTCGACAAGAACAAGGTGATCGTGTGGATGGTGCTGCTCTTTGAGATTGCTGCTGCTGCTGCTGCTGCTGCTGCTGCTGCTTCTCAGGTTGTGATATGGTGCTCTTTGAGACAGTTGTTGTTGTCTGTGCTGATGTTGTTGTTGTCAGTTGTGTTGATTCTTCTTCTTCTTCTTCTTCTTCTCTTTGTTGACATCATCTTCTCTCGCAGGGGATGAAGGAAACTTTGAGGTCTATCAACAAGTCAATGCCGACACCGCCCGAATTCAAGGAGACGATACCGGAAGAGCAAATGAAGCAAGTCGTCGTCCTCTGCCTCCACCTGCAGTCGCACAAGAATCTCCTGCTCAAGATCCTGATCAAGGTCGCAGCGCTGCCGAATAGAGAGGTCATGGAGGCTCTGAACTTGAGGCGATTTGCGGACTCGATCTCCAAGGTTGAAGTGGAAGAGAAAGTGGAGGAGGAGGGGGAGGGGGAGGGAGAGGAGGAGGAGCAGCAAGAGAAGTACATCAGAGTTGGAATGGAGAGGTAAAAGGGGAGAGAAGCTAACGGCAATCAAAGTCAAAGAATGATAGTTTACAACTTGTTGCTGTACATGTACATAAAGTCTCTCAGCTCCTCGTGTACCGCGGCAGCTGCCCTATGGTGTGGTTGAGGTAGGAGGGAGAGGCCGACCAGGGCTCGCGCGGGAGCGGGTGATCGAGGGCGGAGGGCTCGAGAGGAGGGAGGTCCGTGCGAGCAGTGAAATCGCCCTGCTCTACCCACGGCGATCGCAGGTCGTCCATGCCTGACGTTTGCAGGGCTGGAAGCTGCAGGCTCTGAAAGTCGTGTCAGTCTACGAGAAGAGGAAGGGAGGGGCGGGTAGGCGGGTGGGTGCGAGGAGGAGGAGGAGGAGGAGGAGGAGGAGGAGGAGGAGGAGGAGGACCAGGCACATAGAAAGGCACCTGGTGGACTTGAGCTGGGAGCCTCGCAGACAGGCTCGAAGGGTTCATGGACATGGAGTAGACAGGAGGATGGATGCTCGAGCTGGAGTTCAGCAAGCTGGGGCCGTCCATGACGCTCGAGAGCATGCCCTGCCCCTGGTCCAAGTCTGTCGCCCTCCTCCCCCCGAAGGTCATGCGGCTGTCCCGCCCTCCGTCGTCGAGGAGCATCGCTCGGTCCATTCCTCCAACATGCCGGCTCCCCTCCTGCTCCGAGTCACTCGCTGCCGACTCCTCGTTGAGCATGCTCAGGCTGCTTAGCGCTTTCGTGCTCGCTCTTGCCGCCTCCTTGGCTGCCTCCTGGGACCTCCAGTGGTGTTTCAGGCGGAGGGAGAGGAGCGACTTTCTGTCCAACAGCCGGTTGTTGAGCTTCCCAGCTCGCTTCCTGATCCCCGTCAGCTTGCTCGTCCCCTGCTCCGTCAGCTCCTGCACATCCATGGACGAGGATCGGTCGTACCCACCCGTCTCTTCTCCCAGCCCCTCCTTCAGCACCTGCTCCTCCTCCTCCATCGCTTGCACCGCCAGGTACATCAGACCGTCCGGTTTCGAGCGAGCCTTGGCGCCCTTGCCGTTGGGATCCGCCTTGTGTCCGGGGGTGTCGTCACCTAACCTGCTCCTGGACGGCAGCTGGTAAGAGGGCCCAGCTAAGATCGTCTTCCTGACGGCCTCCCGCGCCTCTTCCGTCTCGATGATTCTCTTGGGGATGTCGTACCGCTCGAACAGCTTGAACCATGCCAGGTCAGCCTCTGCCGCCAGCTGCGAGTTCCGCTCCTTCTTCCTCCCCCTCATCGCCGCCGCCCCCTTCCCCGCCCCCTTGTCGGCGGCAGGGTCGACGTATCCCTTGCGAACCATGAGGAGCGAGTCGTCGGCCTTGAGCACCTGCTCCTCGTGCTCCGACGGCGCAACGGCGCAGGGCTTGACGTCCTTGCTGAGCCGTCTGAGATGTTCTTTGACTCTTTTTTTGGTCCCGAAGAAGAAGAGGCTACACTTCCTGCAGTAGTACCTCGAGCTGTTGCTCCTCCTCTCCACCACCAGGATGCTCTCCAGCCGCTCGATCGCGTTCTTCGGCTCTGCCGCCCAGACCTCCTCCCCCGTCGACAGGCTCGCCTTGCTCCACCCCTCCTCCTCCGGCGGAGGCCCGCTAGCTGGGTACGGGCTGGAGAACCTGCAGTCGTCCGCCCCATCCCCATGGTTATCCTCCGTCCTCAGCACCTCCTCCTCCTCGAAGGAGAGGTCGACAGTGCAGCCGGTGATGCTGCTCCCCTCCCTCCTCATATGCTCCTTTATCCGCTTCTTGGACCCCCAAAACATCAGGTTGCACCGCAGGCACAGGTACCTCGTCGCATTCCCCGTCCTCTCAATGACGCATACGCTCCCCAGCCGCTCGATCGCGTTCCTCGGCTCCCCCACCCAGATCTCCGCCCCGTCCGTCAACTTCAGCTTCGACCACCCCTCCCCAGCTGGGGGGTCACCCGAAGCTGGGAACGGACTTGTCAAAGGTCTGCCTCTCTTCACCACGGCGATGTCGGAGGACGTTGCTTCATCCCGGTCTGCCGTATGGTAGTGCTGCCCCCCCCGCAGCGCCTTGCTCCGATGCCCCTCGTCGTCCGCCTTGAGGACCCGCTCCTCCTCCGGCGTCGGCATCTCAACACAGCACTTGACGTCGCTGCTCTGCCTCCTCAGGTGCAGCTTGACTCTCTTCTTCGACCCCAGAACATGTAGTTGCACTTGTTGCACAGGTACCTCGTGGACGTCTCCCTCCGCTCCAGCACCACGATGCAGCTCATCCTCTCGATATCGTTCCGGGGTTCCGCTGCCCAGATCTCCTGCCCGTCCGGCATCTTGCTCTTCTTCCACCTGTCGTTGAGCGGAGGCGTCGTGCTAGCAAGGAACGGGCTCGAGCACTCCTGCCCACCAGCGCTCTTCTTCCTCTTCTCAGGGAGCGAACGCTGGTGGTTATCAGAAAGAGCCTCCTCCTCCTCCTCCTCCTCCTCCTCCTCCTCCTCCACGTCCTCCCGCACTCGCTCTCGCTCAGCACCCCTCTCCCCGCAATTAGCATCATCCAGTTGGAAAATCGCCTCTTCCTCCTCCGTCGGGGGCTCGACGCAGCCTTTCACGTCCTTGCCCTGCCCCCGCATGTGCTCCTTGATCCTCTTCTTGGACCCCACGAACGTCGTCCCACACTTGAGACAGAGGTACCTGCTCGAGTTGTTCTTGCGCTCCACGATCACGACGTTCCTTATCCTCTCCACCTCGTTCCTGCATCCCCGTCACGCCGCCTGCCCTCCTTCCTAGCTCGAGTCACCTGCCGACGGCTGCCCAGATCTCCTCTCCGTGCGGCAGAGTCGCCTTGACCCATCCATCCGGACCTGGCGGAGGGCCGCTGGGCAAGCGAGGAGCTCTCAGGAGGGAGAACGCGAGCAAGGCATTCACACTCTTCGGACATACCTGGCGCTGTGGTACGGGCCTGCAGACCTCTTGCCCGTTGTCAGGTGTGTAGTGAGGTGGGTCGTGATGTCCGGTGGGCACCAGGGGCCTGATGTAAGGTGCCGTCAAGATCAAGAGTCTAACTTCGATGCTGGTACTCCCCCACCTCCTCCCTTTCTCTTCCTCCTCTCTCTCTCTCTCTCTCTCTCTCTCTCATCCCTCCCTTCCTTCCCCTTCGTTGTGCTCCCCGATAGACCAAGCTGTTCCTTCCTCTCCTTTCTTCTTCATACTCCTGGTCCTGGTTCTGGTTCTGGTCCTAGTCCTCCTCCTGCTCGTCCTCCTGCTCGTCCTGCTCCTTGCTGCTCCTCATGCTCCTCATGCTCCTCCTGCTCCTCGTCCTCGTCCTCGTCCTCCTCCTCCTCCACTGACCTGTTGACATGTTGATAACATCCATGTCGGGCGCTCCACAAGCTCCTACCCCACCCCTTGCTCAGAAATGAATTACCCCCATAAATGACTCATAAACTACGGGTACTCGAATATTCCAGAGGGTGGGGTATCAGGTGACGATGCAGTGAAGCCATGCGAGGATTCGACAAGACGAGCTAGTGAGAGGAGGAGGAGGAGGAGGAGGAAGAAGGAGAGGAGAGGAGGAGGCAGCGGGAGGAGAGGAGACGGGAGGAGAGGAGACGGGAGGAGAGGGAGGAGGACGAGACGGGAAGAGTCTTCTGCTTGCTGAAACTAGATTGCTCCTCAAGGATCAACACGAAGAAGATGATTACGATGTGTCGTGCAAGGAGGTTCATGCTTGCAACCCTCTACATAAGTGCTTGCATCATGGCGGTGACGCCGAGCAGACAGTCGGGGGAGACGGTGAGAAGGAGGAAGGCAGCTATCGAGAACATACAGGAGGAGAAGTACGAGGAGGCAGTCAAACTGTACAAGACGATGATGGAGGAGGAGGAAGCGAATGCCGACGACTACAACAACTGCGCTGTCTGCCTGCAAGAGCTCGACAACCTGGATGAGTCTCTAGAGACCTACCGCGAAGGGATCAGGCGATTCTATCACAAGTGAGGAGGGAGGAGTACAGGGAAAGAGGAGGGAGGAGGGAGGATGGATGAGGGAGGGAGGGA